CCGCAGAGTTTAATTCACAAAACAATGGAAATCCAGGAAGTGTCGAGCTATGGTCCCGCCACGGATCTCTCACACGAGCGCTACTACAGCGAAAGCATTCGCCAGCTAACTAGGAAATAAGATAAAATGGTATTTCCCCCCCAGTGGACGCTTAAGGATGCTCCACAGAAATGACAAGAACAGGAGCTGTAAGAAGATGAGCAAGGGGAGCTGTGAAGAGAAGGCTGAGAGGGGACCTTAGAAATGCCTACAAATATCTGCAGGGTGGGGGTCAGGAGGATGGGGCCAGACTCTTTCCAGGGGTGCCCAGCGACAGGACAAGGGGCAACGGGCACAAACTGAAGCAGAGGAAGCTCCAGCTGAACCCGAGGAAGAACTTCTTCCCTCTGAGGGTGATGGAGCCCTGGCCCAGGCTGCCCAGGGAGGCTGTGGAGTCTCCTTCTCTGGAGATATTCCAGCCCCGCCTGGACGCGGTGCTGTGCAGCCTGCTCTGGGTGACCCTGCTTGGGCAGGAGGTTGGACTGGGTGACCCACAGACGTCCCTGCCAACCCCTGCCATTCTGTGATTCCCATCAGAGGAGATGGGGAACTCCCATTTACCATATCAGATTGCACCCATTCTCCTCCTTGCCTGAGGGTCTCTCAGTTTAAAAACAGACATCACTGCCACAAAGAAAATGCCTTCACTTTTACCTAACTTGCGTTCGCAGGTCTGAACAGCTCGTGCCATACCTTGCCTGGTTTTCTCAAGAGCAGGTGGGTATCCAACACAGCTGAGGACAAGCAGAGGAGCACGCAGCCCTCTCCAAGCACCAGCAGAGAATCTCAGCTCCATACAGTGAACACAGAAGTATTGCAGTCAGTTTTGCTTCAATAGGAGCAAAACCGACTGCGACAACAAAGCCCGACATTTCTTGGTTGAGACGAGTCTTCCCAGAGGATCTAGAAATCAGCTTCCATTTGAGATGATACTGCCTGCAGCATCGCGGAAAGGTCCCTGCGGTACTCACGCACTCCCCGGCTTTAGGAGAAGTTATTTTGACACAAATGCTGTTACTGAGGAAAACCAATTTCATAGCAAGACGCTGTTTTTCACAGCAAACCAAAAAGACAGTTACAAAAGCTTCGCACCGGCTGATGAAATCAGATGCCGCTGTATCAAGGAGGGAACACTTACTCTTTACAGTATCCACCTAAACCCTGACTGAAAGGACTGGAAAAGCAAGGAGAGACTGATAAATCACTGAATGTTCGGAAAAAAGCAGGAGGAATGACTGAGGACAGGTTTCTTACGGAAGATACACTCACTGATTCCAGGTTCAGCCTGCAATATTTGAGCACCGTTGCCTGAGCTGGCACGGAATAAGACACCCCAGCTAACACAGGGCTCGACTTCGACCTGACCTGGAACTGCTTCCTTTCAGGGTTGAAATGCTTCAACCCACACCGTCTTGCACTCACCAGCAAGAGCTCTGCTGCAGGAACTCTTAGCAGAGGGTATGAGAGAAACCACGTTTTTTTACCCATTTTATCTCTGAAACAACCCAAGCAGAGTGCTTAAAGTCGTTAAAGAGGGAGATTAAGATCAGCAGCACTATTTTTTACTCTGTCATACACACAGGATTATTGAGCTGTTCCAAGGAACAGAAATGAAATAACAGCTATGAGTCCCGTGGCACTTAAACGCGGCCCTAAGGCCTTTCTGGGGGAGATGCTTTTATTTTAGATGAGAGTCCCTGAACTGCTCCTTCCCTTGCTCCTCATTTCTGCATCTCCCTACTCTTCCACCCCTCCAACACGTGCCCACCTCATGAAAATCCAGCGGTGGCTTCACCGGGGTGTCTCCTTCCCATGGCCTCAGCGTCAGCGGGTTCGGCAGGGCTCTCGGCGAGCTCGACTGCACCCGTACAAGCCCGCGGATCACGAGGAGACCCAAAAACCCTTTCAAGGTACACCGAGACCCTCCTCTAGAGAGGCAGGTCCCGCACCGTGCCACCAGCTCTTCTAGAGAGAACAGGCAGCTGCAGAGATGAAATCAAGCTCCAAATTCCTTCTGAGGCCCCTGGGAAGAAGTCTGTTAAGACAAGATGAGGACGAAAACTTTCCAGGAGATAAACAGTCTTAGGACTAGAAACAAACTGATCTTATTTTTTAGAACTAACGTAAGTGCAAGCTTAATTCTGAACCACGGAAGATCTGGCATGAAGTCTGAGTATCGATACTATCTGGACTTGGGGAAACTCAGAAGTCCTGAGTGTAAAAGCAACGGTCAAAGGGTTGTATCTGAAACAACAAAAAGCTGAGGAAAGGAAACACTCGAGTCAAAACTGCAAGTAACTTCTTTTTAGCTTGTACTAATGAGACCAACCAGCAATTTGGCTATACTGCCTAAATATATTTTTACATAATACTTGGGTTTTGGTAGTAAAAACACATTCGGAAAGCTGCAGTTGAGTTGTTCCACAGCAAGCACACATGCAAAACAAGAAACTGTTCATTAAAAAAAACCCAAAACACAAGAGACAAACCCCAAACCCATGACACGCACATCGAGTCTTTAGACGGCATGAACGATCACAAACACACAAATCCATATTCCTGAAAGACTAGATGGGAAAATCCCACTTTTCTTCTTACATCCAAACCAACCACATTTTCAGACAACAGAATTCCAGTATTACCCGAGATTTCAGCACAGGAAGCGTCCAATTTAAAAAGTGCCACCACCAAATCCGTCAGCATGGTAATATAACATTTCTAAGGGTACTATGCTACCAGGACAGCTTAACAGATTGCATGTGAAATTTGTAAACTGTTTGCAACAGAAACTACTCACTCTCGTTTTCTCACGGCAACTGATTGATTTCAACTCAGAAATTATTTCTGTTTTTACCAGGCAAGTGAAACACAGTTAAACGAGATCAGCAGACACGTAAAACTCTGCACGGCTGTTTGTTTACTTGAGGAACAAAGAATATAAATTTGGGAGCAAGAAAAATAATTAGAACACAGAAGTTAACTGTTTACTCTCATGGGCTGTTTAGGGTCTTGCCAGCCCTGGTCAGTATTTCCATCCCCTGTGTTCAAGGTGCTGGAAACACACCACAGACAAAGCGAGCAGCACCAGGCTCACCCCGTACCAAGATGCTGAAAGCCAGGAAGAAGGAAAAAATGAACCCAACAAATGCCTGGCTTCAGGCTGGCATTTTATTCCTTCTTATCTTTCCCTTCTGAAGATAACACTGCCCATTTGAAACATAAAACATCTGCTCCAAAGGCATTTTCCATCCCTCATCTGAGTGATGCTCCAGAGCAAGAGGGGGTCCAGATGCGGGAACTTCTTCAGTGAAAGATGACGGCACCGATATTCCCAATTTTCAAGCATAAGTACAGTGCAATTCTTTAGAAAAGAACAAAGATTTAAAGACGTGAAGAGATATTCCAGCCCCACCTGGACGTGGGGCTGTGCAGCCTGCTCTGGGTGACCCTGCTTGGGCAGGGGGTGGGACTGGGTGACCCACAGAGGTCCCTGCCAACCCCGAACGTTCTGTGATTCTGTGAGACAGCCCAAATAAAAATGCACTTTCAACTTATTTTTAAACATAACCGCACTGATTTCCAACTTTACTTCCAGTACAGCGATTTCTAGACGGCCTCTCTTTCTGAAATCCCACTGACAAATGCTGACAGAGGAACAATATGAAGGACTCTCCTACCCAAAACAGAACTTAATAAATTATCTACATACAGCATTTTAGCTTTTCACTGCAATTCTAAGCATTTGATGCACGGTTAGCAAAATAAAAGTATTCTCACGACATGGTAACCGAGCTAGAAAAGCATCTCGGGTGCAGCCCCCCCGTCAGCTGCCTGACCCCGCGCTCACCGATCGCTGCTCAGGGGCTGGGCTCGGGGCAACGAAGCCACCACCCCACACCACCGCCACGGCGTCAATACAATTTCTCCTCCACCTTTAGCTTTGTAACTACTATTCTCCTCCAGTATATTCTAGCGGAGGGTGAATTCAAGGAGATGCCCGGCGGGTGGTGCAGATGGGGATCGGCACTCCGACACAGCCGAGTCCCGTCGGGCGGTGGAAGGGACCGGGGGGGCGCCGCGAGCTCAGCGGCACCAATTTTGCACTTCTGCCGGTTCTGCGGAGAGGGGTTTCCCCCAGGAGTCCCTCCAGCCGGCACCCCCCCACCATGCCTCTTCTGCCAGGCCCGCTCCCACCCACAGCTCAGGTTCTGCTTCTCAAACCATCTTCACACCCTCTGCTTTTCTATCCAAACACCCAAAATCTCCTTTCTCCGGTTGATTGTGTCCTGCTGTACGGAGGCAAGGAGAAACTCAACTGTGTGCATGTTTATATGTACACAAACATGTATATTTTAATCTTAAAAACAGATGGAAAAATAAGTATTTGGATTTTCTCCATCCATATAAACTGCCTTGTTTAAATTGAGATAAACCCTGCATGAGCTAGGCACTGCCTCTGGCCATGACACAGACAGAAACCACCATGGCCGGTGCAGAGATTGCCGCGAACACGTCTGAATTTAACGTAACAGCTTCTCATTCCCCCCCGACTCTTCAACAAGTCACTTCCCAGAGCGGAGAGCGGCTCCGGGCTCTGAGCCCCGCGCCCGCAGCCTCCCCCTCCCCACTTCTCACACCACCCCCTTCCCAAGCGCTCAGGTAGACTCGATTCTTCAAACAGGCCATTCATTTTTCAAGCAGGTCTTTAGAAGATTTAAAAATGAATTCACGGGCAACACAGGGCAGAGTTCGGAGCTGCAGAGTCAGCTCTGAGATGACATTTGCAGCGAACAGACGCAGAGATGCAATAAGAAACAACAAATGGCAAAAAGCTAAAAGATACCTACTGCTTAGAAGGAAAAAAAAGGGCCAAACCTTAAATTTGGAGACAGTGAAGACTGTCAGAGTCATTTCTTCGTGAACCAGAGAGCCGCTGAAATTACACTAAAATATCAGGGGAAGTGTCAGGAGAAAAAAGAGGCCACAAACATGGGGAAAAGATGTTCTCGGCACGTTCCTCTGCCCGACTAACCCGCTGGACTCGGGGAACGGCAGCACGCAGCTCAGCTGGGCAGCCCGGCAGAGAGGGAACCGCTGAGGTAATTACAAAAGCAAACAGCAGCCTCAAGAGCTGCTCCGGAGGAGATTAGATAACGCTCGAGCTGTGCAAAGAGAAGAGGGGTGGAAAACTCGGGCGAGCAGAGGAGGCAACGGCAGAGGTGAGGCGGCTCCAGCGGGAGAGCGCGGGTGAACAAACGGTGGGACAAGGAAAAGGGCAGGGGCGAGAGGGCCACACGCGAGGGGAGCGGCGGCACACGAGCGAGGCGAACCCTTTGGGTTTTCTCCCTGTGACTTAGTCAGCCTGGCAAGCCTTTCAGCCGACGCAAACGCTCGTTTCCATGTTCCATTTTAACAACACAGGTAGGAAGCGTTTCTTCTGCCGCTGCTGCCAAATGAAATTACGCTGGTCCTACTGCACTCAAATGCTCAGATTTAAAACAACTTTCACTTAATGCCACCGGGTGAGAAAACTCTCCTACTGCCATTTGCCAGCTGCAGATTCCAGTGACAATATTTAGGCTAAACAGCGTAACAATGGGGGGAGGGAGGTAAGAAAAGTCATGAAAAAAACAGGATTTAAGTAAAATGACCAGTTCCTTTAGTTCCAAATGTTGTTTATGATAGTGAGCATTTATGCAAGAACCACAAAACCCCCCAAACAGTCTGCTTACTTCTCAGGGACTAAAACCAACCTGTTATGGTGCCCAGGTGCTACTGGGAATAAGCAAGGTCTGGAGGAATTACTCTATTATTTAAAGCAGGATTGGTAGTGCCCTCTTCACAGGGATCTGCTGTTCCTCTCCACACCTCCAGCCACCTCTCAACTGTGAACATGTTTTTGCAAGGCAACCAATGGATCTGTGCTTCAAACTTGCATGGGTCTACATGCTTCACAGGTACTGACCTTCAGCAAGACCTGGACAGGCTGGAGAGTTGGGCAGAGAGGAACCTGATGAGGTTCAACAAGGGCAAGTGCAGGGTCCTGCACCTGGGGAGGAACAACCGAGTGCCCACTTTGCATTTTAATTTTATGCAGTCGCAGTGCATTCTGCAAAAAAAAGTCCTCAGTTTTGGTGCGCAAACCCTTGTCTTCACCGAGCTGCTGCAAGCATTGCCAAGGCTCCCCGTTCGGTCGTGTTCAGCTTTGAGATAGAGATCATGAGGATAGGTGGGGACAGATTTTCCTTGCCTGTTCAGGCAGGTTTAACCAGTATTGCATGTTAGTTAGGCAACTGATTGAAAGGACACTTAGTGAAGATTATTTAGCTGATAAATATATTGTTCTTTGTATTTAATTAACCATTTTATGTTCAATGCAAACAGGTCATCTCGTTGCAGTAAACGTTGCCTGTGAAGTAATGAGGTGGCCGTCTGAACATGAGGAAGAGCTTCTTCCCTCTGAGGGTGACGGAGCCCTGGCCCAGGCTGCCCAGGGAGGCTGTGGAGTCTCCTTCTCTGGAGATATTCCAGCCCTGCCTGGACGCGGTGCTGTGCAGCCTGCTCTGGGTGACCCTGCTTGGGCAGGGGGTTGGGCTGGGTGACCCACAGAGGGCCCTGCCAACCCATGATTCTGTAACGAAGTGTCGCCAGCACTTCCCTTCTTCGCTGCTCTCCCAAGCTGAATGACACAGAGGTGTTCATGCTTGTAGGAACTGCGAATATGCAAAGGTCCACGCTTCAGAGCTCAAAAAACCAGATTTATTAGAAGCTAAATGACCTAACAGATTTCAAACCTAAGTGTCACTGTTATTTTAAAACATCATAACAAGAAAGCCTACAGTTGAAATTATAATGTATTAAATAATAATTTAATTATTATTATTTAATTCATTAGCATGCATTAAATAATCGTCCATTACAATGACACTATAATAATTAAATAATTCTAACCCAAGGGGCCCTGATCCTGCAGTGGGAAACG